ACCTTTATTGAAGAATAAAGGACAGACGGAATATGGTTACAAAAAAGCAGAAAATATTTGAAAACATTCAGTGCTTATCATAAAAAATATTAAAGTGTTTAAATAAATGAATGTAATTTACACTTTTTTATTTATCACATTGGGTATAGATTTGAAATAACAAGTAAACTATCACTGTACGGAACATAATCCTGAAGTCACAATCTGATTGGTTAAATGGATTTCCAGGAGAAGCAAGGGTCGCTCTTTTTTTCGTTCTGCCCAGAAACAAAGTGCATACTTTTGCTATCTATCCATCGGTGTGTTCTGAAAATGAGCGATCATACAGAGCTAAACATTGGATTCACAAAAGCACGGCGTATCCACTTTAAAGATGTACAGGAGTTTTGTTTAAGGAGTTATTGGAGTCAAAGAGATGTTTTGACCTGTTAACCGAATGGATTTGCATGTGGAGACATTGGAATGCAATTGGTTATTTGACAAGTCGGTCAAACTGACTCATGGGCGGGTCTTCACCATAGAAACCTGCAATAAATCTCTCTGGGAAGGTCCGGCTCTGTGGGAGTATAGTACTCTGTGATTGGACATAGATGATGCTGCTAAAACGTGTTCAATCCTCAAAGAGGGCACTGTATTGACAACTAATTCAGATTATTTTTAAAGTTGCATGTTTGCTTTTAGATTCAACTTTATTGTCATTACACAAGTACAAGTACAGGGCAACGAAAGGCAGTTTATATCTAACCAGTAGTGCATAAAAAGCACCAAGTGCAGGATATAAGTTAAAGATATGTACAAAATAGAAAGATTATTGCTAATATTTACAGATGATTGTGCTATGGATATAAGGCTATATTTACAGTTGCTATTATATTACAGAAGGTTGTACTATGAACATGATATACAAGTTTTACAATAAAAATGAGCAGTAAATGTATTAAATCTGCAAATATTGAATGTGCAGTATACACATATATGAGCTACTGTCCAAATGTAACCGTGTCCAGATATGTACCGGAGTCAGACTATTGATTGCCCTGGCTGTAGTTCATTAAATTTCCCCTAGAGGGGAATGCGTGGGTGAATGTGTGTTGCCCTGTGATGACGACCTGTCCAGGTTGTACCCTTACCTCTTGGTGAAGTGCGCTGCACCAGCAGACCCCTGGAAGAAGGGGGTAAGAAGATTAATGAATGAATGTATCATCGTAAATAATTTAGCTTTCATCAAAAACAAATGCTGTTTAGGGTTTTTCCTTGTTTATCTGAAAAAGAAGTAAGGTTTTGGGATCATGCCAACTCTCAAGGAAACCTTTCAAAAATAACAAGATAAGATCATGTGTTATCTTGATTTCACGTGGCATTTAATCAATTCCTTTCCATGGCCTCTTGGACTCCACTGGACTATTAGCTCCCACCACTAACTTTGTTTGTTTTCAACAACGTCTCTCTCTCTCTCTCTCTCTCTCTCTCTCTCTCTCTCTCTCTCTCTCTCTCTCTCTCTCTGAATCTCTCCTCAGACGTTGAAAGAGCAGAGAATTATGCTTCAAACACACCACACTGCGCAAGAGCCATCCCTCCTTCTTTCTCTCTATCCCTGTCTCATTCTTTCAACCTTTTCCTCCAGCTCCACGGGGCTCTTTCTCACACTTTTCTGCTGTTCACCTCGAGTAAGAAAATGCTGATACTGAAGGTCTCTCCGGTGCTACGCTTACATTATACAGCTTGCAGCAGTATCCTTACTTCTCTTTTATCTCTCTCATTCTCTTTTTCTCCTTTGAGGTATACGTCTTTTCTGCTCAAAAATTGTCCAGCTTTTCTCAAACATAAAGCCATTTCACATCTTTCTCTTAAAGTGCTCTTAAAATCTCTTTTTTCTCTCATGCTGTCACTCTCTCTTGCTCTCTCTCTCCCCTGCAGTTTAACTCGCTGTGTCCTCATTAAATCTGCAGGACTGCTCTCCCTTCAAAGTCAGACACAATTCTTCCAGCTCCTCAATAGCATCAATTTTTGGCAGACTGTCCCTTGATTTCTCTCTCGTTTCTTTTATTCCTTCTCCTTATTTCTCTCTCTCTTTCTCTTCACACACACACACACACGCACATGCACACGCACACACACACACACACACACACACTGCACTTCTTCACAGTTCATCCAGCAGGGTGTGTTGTGTGTGAATAAGAATCAGACAGTGAAGGGAGAGAGAGAGAGAAGGCGAAATGAGGTGCCGGAGGCCACTGGGTAAAAGTAGCACTGAAATCTGCATAATTCCCAGCTTGCATGGGATATGACACACTTCACACTCAATACTGTCCGGCTGTCGGGCAGCAATGGACACAGAGAAAAGAGAGATGGAGAAAGAGAGAGAGAACCTACTAACAAACTATCATCACATTAATGGTAAATTTAATAACCTTTTGCATAGGTTTAACATGAAGTTCCAGAGGGTTAGACTCCCAAGGGTGGTTTTGGTTCAACACTTTGCTGCAGTGCTTCCTTGGCCTGACAGTGGTTGACAGTGGTTGACATGGTTATATTAATGACAGCAGGCTACACACTCACTGTGACTGACTCTATTTTTACCTGACTGGTGCTTTCTGCATGCAATATTTCTTCAGCCAGAATCAATCTGAAAGTTTCTAACATAAAAAAGTAGTCTCGGAATTTCACATTTGGTAAATGACATTTTCAACAGTGAAATAATGTAAAGCTTAAATGTAAATAATGTTACATAATGTATATCACAAGTTGAATGGAACAATTTTTAACTTAGTTTCTGTTAAACACGAGTGTGCAATTTTTCAAAGTACTTTAGAAAAGAAGAGTCAGGACAGTTACCAAAACAAACTTGTGGCCAATCAGCAGAAAGGGGTGTGTATTCATAATGTGGAGAGGGGGCGTTATCCATTCAATGTTACATTACATAAGACAATTTTATTTACATATGCATTTTTTATGTAGGGACTTGCTTATTTTGGAGATTTTCAATGTTAACATTGATGTGAAAAATCATTTTGGGAATACAAATGGTCATATTAAGTGCAAATTTAAAATCAAAAACTATAGTTTATGAAATTTTATAAATAAGAACTCACATAAAATACTTTGAAACAATGTCATTTAGTTGATTGTTTTGTTTTAGCCCATTTATTTAGTTTTACTCCATTTGTTTTGTTTCAGTTTTTTTGTTTATCAGTTTGGTTTGGTTTTACTCGATTGTTTTGTTTTGTTTCATTGTTTTTAGCCCATTTGTTTTGTTTCATTTTGGCCCTTTTGTTTTGTTTTAGCCCATTTGTTTTGTTTTAGCCTGTTGGTTTTGTTTTACCCCAGTTGTTTTTTTTTTTACTCCGTTGTTTTGTTCCATTGTTTTGTTGTAGCCTATTTTTGTTCCTTTTGTTTTAGTCAGTTTTTTTTAACCCATTTATTTTGTACTAATCCATTGTTTAGTTTGTCCCATTCATTTTATTTTTTTGTTTGTTTTTTAGTGAGCATATTTTGCTTATTTAGTCAGCTTATTTAGTCAATCCATTGTTATGTTTTAGCCCTTTTGTTTTGTTTCAATTTGCTTTGTTTTAGCTAGTTTGTTTTCTTTTAGTCCATTTGTTTTTGTTTCAATTTGTGTTTAGCTAGTTTTTTTAACCATTGTTTTTGTTTATCCATTTTTTTGTTTCAATTTGTTTTATATACAGTCAGTTTGTTTTATTTTGTTTTGTTTTAACCCATTTTGTTGTTTCAGTTGTGGGTTTGTTTTGTTTTAGCCATTTTTTCATCCAATTGTTTTGTTTTAGCCAATTTGTTTTGTTTTAATCGATTGGTTCAGGTCAGTTTGTTTTGTTTTATCCCATGGTTTTGTTTTGCCTATTTGTTTTGTTTTCGTCCATTTGTTGTATCCTATCCCATTGTTTTGTTCTAAACCATTGATTTGTTTTAGCCTATGTGATTTGTTTAGCTATGTTGTTTGTGAGCTAGCATCTGGAAAGGATTTTGAAATGTACCACATCATATTGCATAAGAGTGCATAACGTTGTGTGTCCTTCAATATGACTGAACAAAACTCGTAAATATTATGTGTGAATGCTAAATACGCAAGCTCATAAAGCTAACCTTTTATGTAGATCAGGAATCCAATACAAAACGTTTTGTATTTAGCAATGAATAATGTTTTACCATTGTCCAGTGGTTAAAAGCTTTTCTGTTTCCTCTTTCTAAGGATTAGTGTGCGCTAGACTGTGTAAATCAAATCTTGCATACACAATACGAGACACAGGATGATGTCAAGATATTCTTCAGGCAGACTTTTCCAAGGCCAATTGTGTTTCTGTTCTTCCTTTTATATTTTATGTACAACTTCTTTACACTGGCAGTACTTGGGTGGACAATAACAGACAAAATCTTTCTCGTCCTCTCACCATCCATTATTTCACAAGGAGCAGAGAGAGAGAGAGAGCTTATGAATTCCATCTCAACACTTGAGAAACACTTTTCCTCAAAGTTAATAACATATATTTGTGTGTACTCAGGTGCGTTTGGAGTGGCCTACAGACCTGGCTGTGAGTCCGCTGGACAATTCTCTCTATGTACTGGATAATAACCTGGTGCTCCAGGTGAGCGAGTCCCAACAGGTTCGAGTGGTTGCAGGACGCCCCATTCACTGCCCCATGGCCAGCATTGAACCAGTGCTCTTGGGAAAAACTGCCGTGCGTTCTGTACTGGAGGGAGCCAAAGCTATAGCCGTCAGCCACCAGGGGGTGCTGTACATTGCAGAAACTGATGACCGCAAACACAGCCGTGTACAAGAAGTGTCCACAAATGGAGAAATGGTCATAATTGCAGGGGCGACCAGTGAATGTGATTGCAAGATTGACCCCAACTGCGAGTGTTTTTCAGGTGAGATAAAGCAACAGTGATTTTTATCATTATAGTGCATTGTTTTCTTGTTATTCTAGTTAATGTTATCTTACTTTTCCCTATAAAGTTTTGGTATTGGTCAACAATGAAGGGAAGTTGTGGCCTAGAGGTTAAGGAGATTGACTGGTGATCAGAAGGCTGTTAGTTGGATCCCCAACTCCATTGGGAGTTTAAGGGGAATGAGTGTCCTTGAGCATGCCACCAGTTTCTCCTACTCCTTCCTGGTCGTTGAGGTGTTTTCATCTATGTATGCCAAAATAGATTGTCTTCAGGCTCATAAAAAGGGGAGGTACCACCTATCAAACTCCGATATAAAGCGATGTAGGTTCATGCATGGGTACCTCGTGTATTGGAATTTGGACCTTTGAAAATCGACATTGAATGGAATTATAAACTCCCAAATCAGCCCTGAAGCCCCTGCTCTCCATCTCTTTCTCTGTCCTTTCCCATCTGGGGAATCATAAAGTTCCAGCTAATGTAAGAAGAGACCATACATTGCTCAGTTTTTTGTCCTTTGGTGCATTCCTTTTATGACTGGTAGAAGAAGCTTTAGTCTGATCATATTCAAACCGAAGGAAACCACACTGATATTTCTTCTATTTAGAACAACCGTAAACTTTATCTTTTCTACATTTTTACATAAAGCATACTTGCACTGTTCAGAGCCTGCATAAAGTTAACTAAACTTGATCCGACCGTTCTTCTTCAGACAGTACCATGGTGAAATCTCTTTAGTTTTCAAGAGTTTAAACAATACAATCTTCATTCAGCATAAACTCAAAGGCTTTAAGATGTCGAACACACTCCCACATGGACAGCCAGAGTGTAACGTATGCAGTAAATTTATTTTTAGTCAGTATTTATTTACAGGCATAAAGCATTATTGTACAGCTTGATTTATGGGCTCTTTGGCTCAACACATGATATATCTTTGTTTGTTTGTGCTGCATTTGATCAGACGGTTAGCCGTGTTATCATCTGGCCTCTATAAATGACTATTTTCCAGCAGGATTGAATTTAAGGCTAAATTAAGAAGAAGTCCTGGCTGGTGTTAAAAGCAGGTCTAATTAGAGAAGGCTTTTATTATTTAACTGTTGCAGAAAAGTGTTGCAGTCTCCCTCTTTGGGCCTGTGGGGTTAATCATTAAGTCCAACCCCGAATACCTAATAAATCTCACTTTCTTTCTCCCTCTTCTGCTTTTAAAACATCCCTAGGTGATGGGGGTTATGCCCGTGATGCCAAGCTAAAGTCTCCCTCCTCTCTGGCGGTGTCTGCAAATGGCTCACTTTTCATCGCAGACTTGGGGAATGTTCGCATCCGCCAGCTCAGCGCCAACCATCCACAGCTCTCTTCTGAGGGGCTGTTCGAGCTAGCATCCGTGGCCGATCAGGAGCTCTATCTCTTCAGCCCCAATGGTACTCACCTGTTCACCCGCAGCCTGGTGACTGGAGACTACCTGCTTAACTTCACATACACCCCAGAGGGCCACCTCAGTAGCATAGCAAACAGGGAAGGCACCATAGCGCAGTTGCGACGGGATGCTAATGGTGTGCCCCTGTGGCTGGTGGCTCCGGGTGGACAGGTTTACTGGCTGACCATCAGCAATGCTGGAATGCTGAAGCGGATCTCTGCACTCGCTCATGACCTCGCACAGCTCAGTTACTACGGCAACACGGGGCTGCTGGCTACTATCAGTAACGAGAATGGCTGGACGAGCGTTTACGAGTAAGTCTCTCTCTGACTGTACCTTGTCTTTTATGTTTTATTTAATCTCTAGCTTTAGTGTATCACTTTTTATAAGATTTGGACATTCTTTAGAAGTTAGATTAACTGTTTAGAAAGTAGACAGTCATCTTTTTTTTCAGGAAAAGATATCTTATATATAGTTGCTCAGAGAAGACACTGTGCAGATTATAGCCATAACTTAAACAAATATTTTACACAATATATTTCTAATTGTTAAATATCCAGTTTAGTCAATATGCAATGACTAAAACAATCTGACAAAACAGAAAAGACCATACATTGTTCAGTAGTCGTTACCCCTAAGGAAAGTTTTGTCTTTTGGTGCATTCCTTGGTGACCTTTTTGACTCGGTAGCGTAACTGCTTTAAACAGTTTCATTCTGATCTTATTCAAACAAAATGAAACTAAACCTGATCCAACCATTTTTCTTCAGACAGATATGAAATCTCTTGTATTCCTGATTTTAACTCAGTTAAAAGAATCTTCATTCAACCCCTGAAGCTCTTTTTGGTTCTTCACCGGTTCTTTGCAGATTTGAAGGTGCTATGAAGCACTTTTTCACTCTAAGGAACCCTTTGAGCTCTTCTTGGTTCTTCACTGGTTCCTTGTAGTTTTGGGGGTACTGTTATAGCTTTTTGTTAGCGTAAAGAAACTGTTATGGCCTTTTCTGGTACTTGTGGTTCTAAAGTAGTCTTTGTTGTTTTTGATGTGCTTTATACAGATGCTGGTCACATACATCATGCCACAGTTTATTTATTTCATACATTTGATGGTTGGTTCTAAATATCTTTTGAACATTGGTTCTAAATAGCGCCTTTGAAGATAAGTGGTAAATGGCACTAAAAAGCTGCCCCTCTCTCTTTAGGTTTAATACCGCCTTGTCCTGATGCAATTAATGAAAACTGGTCTGTGGGAAATACAACTAATAAATAACTACATAGATTCACTGCTTCAATCGAGAGGAGGAAACACCACACCAGATGTTTCCTCGCCTGGAGATAACAAAACTGTCCAACTCAAATGAAGCATCTACTCCCCCGTGTGATGGCTTTTGAGCAGGACAAGACACGGTTAAAAAGGTTCCCCCTGTGGTTACAGGCCAAAGAACCAGATTCAGTTCTATAAAGAATATTTTTTAAAGCGTTTAGGTGCTCACATCAAGTAAAAGATATAGACTCCACATTATGGCCAAAATATTAACATATATTTTACACAATATACTTAAATTTGTTATATTTTGTTTAATTCAGTGAACACTTTTGAGATGGTTGTGGAATGACAAAAAAGAATCTTAACATTCCAGCTAATGTAAGAAGAGAGCATACTGCTCAGTAGTAGTTTCCCCTGAGTAAAGTGTTATGTCCTTTGGTGCATTCCTTAGATGACCTTTTATGACTTGGTATGTACCTGGTATAAGCAACTTCAATCTGATCTTATTCAAACAGAAGGAAACCACACTGATTTTTTAATGTTTAGTTTTGCCACATATGAATATATATATTTAAAAACACCCCAAGATGTGGTCAACTATTATCAATACTCTTTAAAAATATTTTAAGTCCAGCCTTCAAGTTCTGCCAACCAAAGCTGATGTACCCAGAACAACAAATAAATAATCTTTTAGCACAATTGCAAGCAGAAATTTTGGTGAAGTTTAGTTTTTTTTCACCAGAGTCAGCAAATAACAACTGTTTGAGAACTGCACGTGTTTCATTTTTGCCTATAAAATTTTAATTGTACAAATGTACTCTAAAGTCTTAAATGCTAACGTTTACAAAGATTTAGCCATAGCCCATTTGTATTTCAGGAGGTGTTTGTTCGGCACATATGGCACTATTTACAATGAAACTGACTTTGACTGAAATTCCTTGAAGAGTCCATCAAGTAACTTCTGTAACTTCCTACCAAAGGAAGAAAGCATTTGGTGGAAGCTTATGTTGGGGCTTTTTTTGGGACAGTCTTTGCACACTGCAATGTTCTTGTAAATGGAACACCCCTACTGAATAAAGCACCAAAAGAGTAGCATTCCTTAGTGTAATAACGGCACTAACGCCAGAACCAAAGCTGTACCGTGCAAAAGTGACAAGTTTCTTTTGTACCGTGTATAAAATCACACTAGATTAATCTCAAAATGCATCTCATCGGATCACAGTTTATCAGAATTTTATCAGAAGGAATAAAATCTAATAGAGAGTGATCTGCAGTGATAGCTGAGATCATTTGCAAGAGTGCAGTCATTCGATTTCTCCCTGCAATGAAAATCGCTCAGGCTTAATCTATCCAATAAAGAACAGAACTGTGTATCCTCTTCTGCCTTCACTTTGAAAAAGCCGGGGTAGCTCTCTTCCTGTGTGTGCGCGCGTGTGTGCGTGTGTGTGTAAACTGTTTGCATGGGCATTTTTGGGGGATTTGTGAGACTGAGCTGCAAGTTCTAATTTAGTGTGAAAATGTCAGGGGCTTCTTTTCCTCTCTCCTTCTCCCTTTTTGTTTGATCAACTCTGTGACCTTTAACACACTGTGTTTATACACACACGCACACACGCACACCTACATGTTCTCATGCAGCTCAGGGTGTGTGTTGTGTTAAGGTGCTGGATCTGAGTTTGTTCAGCTGTGAAACATTGCCCCCTGCTGCAGAAATCTGTACACTTTTCTGTTGCTCTTTAGACAAGCTGTTTTAGATTGGTAGCAGATTAATAAAGCTGACACATTTCATCAGATTTATGAAGAAACGTGTATTATTGGAGCAGCTTGTGAGTTTTATATTTGTAAAACATATTGACACTCTTGTTCCAAGAAAGAATGAACATGTACGGAAAATGTACAAGGCTGAAAAGGGCATGTGGGTGTAAACTCATTCAGTCTTAACACTTTAAAGTGTTTAATTATTAGTAAAAAAAAGAAATGGTAAATACAAATCTGACAGAAAGAAAAACTGAAATCAAAAAATAAATTAATTTGTGATTAAAGTTCTTTTAGCAGACACTGTTCTTTAAATGAGGGCACACAAAACAATTTGTCAAAAAGAGGCAATTAATCATTAGAAGTGATCATTCTACAAGTTCCAAAATTACTAGAACAAGACGTACCATATGGAAAAGATTTGTTTCATGCTGAACCGATTTCAGTGATGATAAATCAAGCAATACTTTTCATATTTGCAGGCTGTTACTGATTGTATTATAATGTACCCAGGGAAGTGAAAGTAATACTAGTTTCAAAAATGGAATCCCTGATTTTTCTAAACCATGTTCAATTTTGGATTTTCTAACTTATTTTAAGTAATAAAAGCATCTGTAAATCTATTAAATGTGCAAAGTTCCACAATTTTTCCATGAATGAGATTATAGTTTTAAAAGAATCACGAAACATGACAAACTGCTGGCTCTAAACACACCTCTCTCAACGCCTCGATA